AATGATGTCCTATACTGAGTGCAGGCTTTCAGAGGGAAGCCAAAAGCATAAGGCAAACCTCCCACTTGGCAAGTAGAGAGCATGTCAGGCAGCCAAAATGGCTCCTCTGCATGTTTGGTACACTTGCTCCCTTAAAGGTAAATAAATTTTTTATGTGTGGAAATCGTTAGTTTACGCCCCGAGTCTGCATACTGACATACTACTAGCTATTAACCAAATGTATCAAAATTTATTGTTCTCAGTCAACTTTTTTAGTCTGGTGCAGAATATACTAGCATAATGTTAGTGTAGATTCTAGAAAGATGGTAGTAGGGTATTTTTCCATATATTCTGAAGTTAGATAGTACAAGTATTTGTACAGTAAGTATATGGGATAGATATGTAATTTCCTACAGCTATTGATTCTGGTAAGCCATTTATTATGGGACTTTTTGTTTGTTTGTTTTGTTTTGTTTTTTTGTTTGAGGGATGCGTTTGTCAGATTTTCAGCTCCATGAATATGCTGATACTGGCTTTCTACCTTCCTTAGAGTTCAGAGGAGAAATGGAGCAAGATAGATTGCTTTGTCGCATGTCACTGACAAGCATGTTCATGTTCCTTAGAAATCCTTCCTATTTCATATGCAAATGATTTTGGGAGGCAAAAGATAAAAATATAAAATATAAATTTTGTTTTTTAGATTTAGATATAAATTTAGTTTTCTAGATTTCTATGGATGTTTCCTGTGACTAAGCAGTCTTAGAACATGGGTAGTACAGGCTGAGAAGAAAAGGTTGCAATAATGTCCAGTTAGAGAGGCTTGGTTTCTTTGAGCAAACTTTTACAGTCTTTAGCGTATTAGTATTTTAGAAGGTAAAGTAGTTCGTGTATTTCTGTAAGCTTTCTAGAGGCTTTGATGGTAACTCTTTTAAGTTGCACCTGGCAAAATGAATTGAGGAAGAGACTGTTGTCTTTGATCAAGAGTATGAGAGGCAGCAAGAATGATTTGTTAAAGGATTGATGTTATCGGGGACAAAATTCTGGACTAGCTTCTTCTCTGCCTTAAAAAAGGAATAATACTGGTGTGGAAAAAAACGTGCAGATGTTGTAGCAAGTTTCAGTTAATTAGAGTTAGAAAGAAGTAAGAAGAAAATATAAAGAAAATGAATGTTTAAAAAGACCCAATAGCATGCTCTAATTGAATAGCATGCAGCCAAAGCATCTCTTCAGCAGCTGATTGGGAATTAAATAAAATATCAAATTGTTAGATACATGGGTAGTGCACCAAAAAGGTACCTTCCTATAAATCAGTAGCGTCACTTACCTGGGCATTTTAGCTCCTCTTGCCTTACTAGGGCTACTGATGAACTGGTAAGGAGTTTAAAGGACTATGTGTAGAGTGATCGTGGAAAAGCTTAAAAAGTTCAGGAGTTGTAACTTAAGAAGGAGATGTACCTTTATCATACAACCTTTTACTTTGAAATAACATATAGCTCACAGTTTCTGTCCTGTTCCTTTAGGTATAGAGGCAGGCAGGTAGGCCTGATAAACTGCATTTTGAATAACTATACAGGTTTCTTTGTTGTCAGTTTTGGTGCAGCAATAAGTTTTGACCAAAAACTGAAACACATAAAAATCATTGGATATAATGCTTATGCTGAGAGTATCATGAGTCATTGTGCCAGGAAGACACTGAAGGAAGCCTGTGCGCAAAGGATTTCAGATTTCAGGAGATGTTAAATTTATTATTTAAATCTGTCTCTGATTTACTTCAGGGGTGAGGGCTTGCGTTCTTTTATACAGGCTTTTGACCTCCTGTAATTATTCAAAGTTTAAATATTTTGGAATAACCCAGCTGTTTTACCTAACCAGTGCTAAATCTTCAAATGCTGCCAAACTGGGAGGAGCACATGACCTGTTAGACTCTGTTCTTTCTGTAGTGTTGGCTTTGTTCATCTCCTCTTCAGTAATGGTCTGGTATTGTTCTTCTGTGGATGTTGTTGTAGGGGACATTCTGAATGACAGTCATGCTGAAATTGTGGCCAAGAGGAGCTTCCAGAGGTGAGGCATGAAGTCTGTGCACTGTTGTTTAATGCCACTTGAAGCTGTCATGCTGTGAATGCTTTGCTTTTTATCTCAAATGGCCAGAATGCCATGAGAAGATAATGAAAGAGGAGATATTAGCTCTGTGTAGGCAACTCTTCTCTGCTCCTTTTGTTGGCAGGAGATTAACCTAATTTTTACAGATCTGATTAGTATTTTAGGGTGCTTTCAGGGAAGTTTTTTTTCATCTGCATTGTAATAGACCCTCTATATGAAGAAAGAGGATGTGATTTTTATGTGATGTAAATGCTGGTCTAGATGTCAAAAATGACTAATCAAATGTAAAGAACGGTAGCCGTTTTTCACCACATACATGGAATAAACTGTCTGAAGGAGCTAAACCGGGAGTATAGTAATAATACAAAAACAAGGGATAAAGTTTCTGTACTTTTATGCCACTGTGCTGATTCTCACAGAATTAGATGAGTGGCGGTGTTGGTAAAAAGTACAGATGGGAAGAGATCTACAAATTGAGGAGGTAGCTAACTCTTCTGAATCTCACGTTTGAGCTCTTGTTGCTAAGCTTCTGATTGTGTGTTGTGAAGTTTGTTTGGGTCAGAGCTGTCTGCAGAAGCATAACCAATCGTTTGGGTTCCTTTACCAGAAATGAACAAGCACTAGTGGGCATCTGAAGTTTATTGTTTTCACTTGCACCACAAATTAAGCATGCAAATCTTGTAAACTTTTTGCCCAACAGGTATCTTCTCCATCAGATGCATCTGGCGGTTTCCTACCAGCAGTGCAGCATCTTCATTCCAGGAACCAAAACTGGAAAATGGAAACTCAAACCAAATATCATATTTATTTTCTTCTCCAGTCATACCCCATGTAAGTACACTCAAACAATAATTTCAAAGAAGAAATATTGGAAGTAAACCAAGAAGAAAATTGGAGCAAACTAATTTCATGCCCTCCTCTTATGGAATCTTTTCTGACCCTTTACCTTTCTTTAGTCTTTAGTGAGTGAAGCAGTAATTCTTGTAATCTGTTTATGCCCTAAGAAGTATTTGACCTGTCTTCCAGAGATAATAGGTACTTTGTCTAACTGGATGTGAGCCACAAGGAATAAGTAAATCTAATATCCTACTTATTAGAATGGCATGTTTCACTTTCCTTTTAAACAGAAATGGATTATCATTTTCTTTTTCAGAAACGACCATACTTATCAGAGGTCCTGACAATTACGGTTATGTTTCCCTGTCGCTTTGCTTTAAATGCTGTTTCCCTGGACTCTCATTTTAATGAAAATCATTGCCATTTACCTCTGTTCCTAAAACCTTTTATGGAATGAATTGCAACCTTTTGTCTTGCTACAGGAAGCACTTACTCCTTGTGTCCTAAAAAAACAAAACTAAAAAAGATAAGTCTGTAGGAGGAAAAAGGTGTTACCACATTCTTAACAGTACTGTATGTTCTTTTCAGTAGCCAGTCCGTTACCAGAGCAAACTAGTCTTAAGTATTCTCAAAATATGCTGAATATTCTCAAAATATGCTTCATGCAGGGCAAGTCTTTCAATAAGTAGTACAGGTGTTCCTATTCGGATTGCATTGCTAGAGTTAGCTTTGATGATTTTCTTCATTAATGCACATACAAGTATAAAATATACATCCTCAAGTTTAACAGCAAGAGCATAACCTGACTACCTTTTCTTTCAGGATTTGTTTGATTTGAATTCAGCCTCCTGGTTTTGATTCTGAGCTTGTCTTGCTAGCCTAGCTTAAAGCTTTCACCCTGATTTAATAGGGCTTGCATTGACTGTTCTTTTGGGATTGGCATTTAGTTGGATCAGGCAAGTTTTACTTTGAGTCTTCAGCTCTGCTTGTGGTCTGTCAAACCATTTTGGAACTATTCCCTTTTTAATTCTAGTTAAATCTTGCTGTTGAAATTATTTCTTCTTTTGCTGAATGCACATCTCACTGAAACTCAACATATGCTGTCTCAAATCTCACTTAAGTATGATTCATCACTGTACAGAGCTGTTGTTTGAAGAGTATGTTTTTGTATCTGTATTTTTCTGAGCACAGATCTGTGAAAACTAATGGTAGTTTTAATATTACTAGCATGAGGATTTTTCGTTTGAGGCGCATTTTTGCCCAGTTTAGGAGTAATTTCCTTTGTTCTAGGTGGAGATGCCTCTATTATTCCAATGAGTGAGCCAGAGAACCAACTTTCTAAGCCAGTGGTTGCAGAAAATGCAGATTTTGCATCAGCAAAGTGTTGTAGAAACCATGAGCGTTTGGGTCCAGAAGGTAAAAGGAAATTAGAGGAAATGGCAAGTAATCTTGTAACCAAGAAAATAAAAACTGTTAATGACTGTTTTCCTGTGATCACTGAAGACTTGGCTGTTCAGCAAGTATCTGGGAAGCAAGCAAGCTTAGAAGACAACACCAATCCAAAGAGCTTTGAATATTCTGCAGAGATGCAAAGAGCTGATAAGGATGCTGGCCTAGGCAGAGCCAAGGTGGTCGATGTTTATAGAACCGGAGCAAAGTGCGTACCTGGAGAGTTAGGCGACATCCAAAAACCTGGAATAGCATATCACTGTGTGGGATTATTGCGAGTGAAGCCAGGTCGTGGGGACAGAACACGCTCCATGTCCTGCAGCGATAAAATAGCTCGCTGGAATGTACTAGGATGTCAAGGAGCTCTTCTGATGCATTTCCTGCAGCGTCCGGTATATCTGTCAGCAATTGTAGTGGGGAAGTGTCCATATAGCCAAGAAGCTATGCGAAGAGCAATTATTGGAAGGTAAGTGACCTCCTTTGAAAATCAGATAGTGCATACAGAGACTAGTTATGGAAAACATCTGTCGCACAGCTGGCAGGATTTTGCACCAAAGTCATCTGCAGAAAATGGGAGTTTCTGCAGATTCACATTTGCAGAAAATAGCTTTGTGTAGTATGGAGAAAAGGTGATTATTGTTGACCTATAAAATTTGAAGACTTAAAACTACTTTGTGGTAAATTCGAGATCCACCTATTTTCTCCTCCTTCGAGTTATGATTGTTTGTTACCACCTGGCCTTTTTGGAAGCCTTCCAACAGAAAATAAAAGGTGACAAACTGAGGGTATATTTTGTTTGTTTTAGCACGATGAAGCTGAACTCGCCTTGCACTCCTTACACTATTTGAGGATATAATTTTAAGAAATACTTTTTATTTATGTATTAATACTTCACAAATAATTGTGAGTATCAATAACTTCTCTCTTATAGAAACTTTGTGTTGGTGAGAAAGAGGTCTTGTTTTTCTTTCAAGTGGCTGAATAACACAGATCCTTCCTAAAGTTTATTTTTAAAAAAAGGTTCATAAAGGCACCCTGATTAAAAAAGAGTCCAAATAAATATGCAGGTAGATTTTTTTTGATTAAATGTGTGAACCATTGCTAACCTTTTTGAGACACGGAATTTGAAATAACATTTTGAGATTTATTTTTCAGTTTGTTTTCACCCTTTCAACTTTAGTCATGGATGTATCAAATTCTTATGTCTGTGCCTTGTAAATACTGAACATTACTGTTTTATGAGAGAGAGAATATTGATTTCAAGAGGCCAGGTAGGTAAGGATTATAGAAAGAATATGTAACTAGCAGGTTTTGATTTCAGGTGAATAAGATAGTCACACAGAACATCAGTTTGCAGCTTTGGGACTTCACTTAGGAACAGTTTGCTGTTACTATTACATAGATAGTGCTTGTGTGTACACTGAGACAGAATACTGTCGCACAGAGTAATTGTGGAAAAGTTGTCTTTGGGATTTGCTTTGCAAAACCTGTTAAAATTTGGCCCTATATGAGATCCTACTAGTTCTTGTGCAGGTTTTGCAGATTTTAGAAGCTGATTTCAGACTTAATTTTTCCGTAAGTACCTGGTCAAGCAGCATTTAAAGCTTACTTTAGAAGGATTTATAATAAAATCAGTTTATTTTCTGCTTTTTAAAATCTTCCCAAGCTTTGATTCAAACTTAGTTTTCTAGAATAATGTTATTTAGGTTATTCCGTATACATGCAAATCCAGCCAGTGTAAGATTTCAGAATCATTGTTTTGACTGCTCTAACTAGAGGTTTCTGAAAGATGCTGTTGCAAAGTTTTGACTGATTTGTGTTCTCTCAGTGCGTTGCTCAGCTGAGGATACTGAGTTACAAACACAGAAACTGCCGCATGCTGTCCCTTTTTGTTTAGAAAGATGAGTACTGTTTGACAAACAGTTTGGGAAAGCATGAGTTCACATGCATTTTTGTTTGCAGAGTTGTTAACTGTTACTATGTAACTTTTGTGCCAAACTTTACATGCAGGCATGCTTCGTGCTTGCATTCAAGCTAGTATCTCTCCTTGGCCTTTTTCGCCATTCAAAGGTACACTTGATTTGGATGTGCAATGCAAGATCACCTTTGCAGTTGTCATGCGTTCTGAGTTGTGCTTCAGAATTCGGCCATGAAATCTGGGCCCTCGGTGTCTATAAGAATGAGATTTGTGGCTCCCTAACTCTGAAATACTTGTTTCTTATCCTGCTGCTCTGGAAACCGAAAGAACTAGAACTTTTGAGTATTTTCCACCTTTAGGGATGATTGAAAGGATGGATCTTTGCAACAGTTTCAAATATCTAACATGTACATAGCTTTTACTGGTCATCCGGAAAAAAAGAGAAAAAGTTGTGTTAGACTAGAAGCACAAAGCCTAGGTGCAATTTCTTTGGGGTAAAATTGCCAATTTCTTTGATTCCCAAATACATTGAAGATATTGTATTTCTCCCTGCAGTGAGTAGAAGCGATCTGATAATATAAACTGTCAGGAGGCAGATTCCACTGGTGCTAAACGAGGAAGGTTGTGTAATGTGCAATGACTTTTGTGCTTCTCAGATCCTTGAGTTGATCAAAATTATCCCAGCCCAAAAGAGTAAAAAATTCTTCTTTAGGAAGCTGAATCAATTCAGCAAAAGGAATCAGTGAGCATTAGAGAAAGATAACAGGGGAATGCAGAGAATTTATTGATTAGAAAAGGAGAACAAGAGAGAAAAGGGGACCGGAACCACTGCATTTAATAGACAGGTGTCAGGCCAGATCATCTGAAAGGATTGACTTGGCTCAGGATGTCATTCTCTCTTTTATACTCAATGGATTTATGCTTTTAACTGGATCTGTTTTAAAATTAATTCACTACCGTTTTCTGGAACGGGCAGGGTCCTACTAAAGTATCTGACTTCTAGAACCTAATCAAGTATTGTTTAGAAGAAAAAAGAACCTCTCAGTTTAAAAAGTAATACATTTCAGATTATGAAAGGAGATTTTACAAATCTACTTGTCTTGTAAAATCAGATTTTAAAACACTTGCATTCTTCCATTTTTACTTTAGGTGTCAGCAGATCTCATTTTTACCAGATGGCTTCCTCACTCAGGAGGTTCAACTCTTGCAGTCAAATCTTCAATTTGAACATAGCCGTCAGGCAATCCAGGACGCTCAAACTAACAGCAAAACAAAGCTTGTTCCCTGTGGTGCAGGTGAGTTAACCTCAACTAGACACAAAAGTAATTGCCCACTCATAGTTCAAAAGAAAATATAAAGTAATTTTGAGGAAATTTTGTAAAATTGAATTCCATTGCTAGTGCTTATGACAAAGTATGACTTGCAGCAAGATGTTAATTTCAGAGCAGAACTTAACTGTTAATATTCATGCTCTCCTGATAATTCTATGTAGGCAGTTTTCATACTGATTAAAATAAAAAGATGGAAAGTAACAGGTGAAGACATGTTCTAATGGTGATAGGAGGACAAAATATAACAAAAGGCTTATATCAGCTAGTTATTAGTTTTTCTTGGTAAGGAAGACAAGACTCTAAAACTTGTCATGCAGTTTTATGCTTGCAGTCTCCCCAGAAATCTGTGAATGTAGAAGGAATACAGAGTAGTGCAGTATAAAAATTCAATTGACAGTTTTGGGACATTGTCTTTCTCATCATGGTGATGAAGATGGAAGTCATGCTCGTGATGTAGTCTTATGGCTTGACTCCTTTCAGAGAGCTCACATAGTTCTCAAGTCTAAGGTTAGATTTGCAACCAAATTAATCTTATAAAGTGTCGTGAAAGATGGCAAGAATAAATGATAGTGGACCGAGAGTGGGTTAAGTAATGATATTTGATGTGAGTTTATCGGTAATGTCAAATTCAAAGATGTATTTTAGGAGCTGAGGGGAAATACTGCAATGCTGAGGTAAAATTCAGAGTTCCAGCAGCAATATTTTTGTAGCTCAAGATGGTAATTAAGTACTGGGGTGTGGGCAGAAGATAAGGATGTTGGCAATTAATGTGTCTTCCAGAAGTTTATTGTTAGATGACTAGTAATATTTTTAAAATATTGTCTATAATTGTATGATGTGTGAGACCCAGAGCACTATGTAGATGACCTCAGATAAACTTAAAAAGGAAAAACAGGGTGACTGCAAGTGGCAGGATGAGGAGTGTTTTAAAGCATAATATGAAAATAAGCCTGGAGATTTCTTCATAGTTTTCCAGGCAGGATACACAACAGAAGGTAAAAATCCCTTAAAAGGGGGAGAATCATGAAGCTGGAGGCCAAGTGTTTCAAGGCATCAGCTTCTAAAGAAGCTGATTAAGGCGAAATCATGGTTCCAAACTCTTAAGAGTTTATCTGAATTATTTGGGTAAGTAGCTCAGTATCATGTGAACGCAGTGCCTAAAAGAAACTGTAAGGTTTGTTTTTGTGCGGGGAGTCTGTCTTGTTCTTAAAGCTTTCTTCTGCAGCTATCAGTTGGAGTGCAGTCCCTGAGCAACCTCTGGATGTCACCTCAAACGGCTTTCGTCAGGGAACAACAAAGAAGGACATCGGCAGCCATCAGAGCAGGTGTGGGAATGCTGTGGTATCTGGATGCATGTATCTCACCTGTCGGCAGACATTCATCTGTCTTAGCTCTGTGGGATGCAAAAGGCATTGTCTGAAAAGGAAGAAATCTCCACTCACTTTTTTTCTGGAAAGAAGAGGACCAGGAATCTTGTAGCTTGTGAACAGTATCAGTGTCTGGGGTATTGTTATCACAGGTGACCTGGGTGACTTTTGTGAAAAACAGTTTGCAATGTGTGGTGTGCAAACTATTCCAGAAGATGTATAAATATAATAAAATAAAACATTATAATTTAATTATATAAGTTATATTATTTAATTAGGTATAATTAAAATATTTTATATATATAAAAAACCCACTAACATTTGTTTTGTGGACTTAAACTTGCTATATAACATTTTTTGTATCAACTGTAAAACTCCTGAGAGCCTTCTGCTACCTGTGAGTTTACACAAAACTGTAGCAGCTTAGTTTTGTTGGAAGGTTAAAATATTCAAAAGTTATTAGAGGGAGTATACAAGACAGTGTAATTGAAGAAGTTTTGTTTCCTTAGGAAATCAGAATTAAAAACTATGTTAAGAAATAATTACAGTTATGCTTTTGTGATGAACGTCCAAATGCGAGTTTATATCCTAGGAGTGGAGGAATAGAGAGAGTTTTTTTGATGATTAAACAGGAATTGCATTTCTACCCACCACCCCCTTTTTTCTTTTTTCCTTTTTTTTTTTTTTCCCCCTCCCTCCCCCCTTAAGGAATCTTGCTGATTAGTAACTTTTTTTCCTCTTCTCTATGTAGCATGGAAACCCCATCTAGATAACATTAGATACAAAACTCACAGAGCAGAAGGAATTTGTAGGTGGACTTTCTGGTATGTGCTTTTGTTAATGCTTGATTAACTGAAACACCAAAAACTATATTATGAATCTTGGTAAATTAATATGAAGATGAACATTTGGAGCATGCAAATTAATAGCAAAATATGAAGCTTTTTAAATGCTTCTGGAGAATCAGATTGCATGTTTTGGAAAATTAAATCAGTCATTGTAAGGACAAATACAGAAGACTTAAATCAGTTGAGAAAATAAGAGAAACTTTCAAAACAACACATTTTTAAAACAACTGTCTGGCGAGAAGAGTTTAAGGTCTGCAGGTAGGGGTGCCTGTGGCATCTATAAAAGACTTTTAAAACTTGACTTTCATTATTCAAAGGATGAAGGAGCCTTTTTGTATTTAACTACCTTACTACTGTTGCTGAATACATCATATCAGCATTCTTGTGAAGACAGAATTATTCAGATATTGCCTTTTTTGTCACACAAAATGCTTTTAGGTACACTTTATTCGGTTGTTCTTGAAAGCAGTTCTAGAACTACATGGTTCTGGGATGTGGTTAGTCATTTTTGAGAACTTCCAGACCAACCTGTATAAGAGAGGACAGGATCAACTGATCAGTCATTGCTCTAGGTCTGATGTGACAGATCTACTTCAGCAATATGGGGGGAAGGGAGATGTGAGTTGTTTTTTTTTTTTTTTTTTTACTCTGAGAAGTCTGATTCAAATTTCTGATTTCCCTTTTTTTCTATCAGATCCAAGATCTGTAAAGTAGAACTCTTCCATACATTCCAAAAGCTGGTGACAAGTATTTCACAGGAGATTCTACCAGACACCCTCAGGTAAAGTTTTCTCAAATAGCTAGAAAAGTGAATTTATCTTCATAAATCCCGAGTGTACTGTGATGATACCAGAATCTTCTCATGAGTCTCACTTTTGATAAACTTGTTAAAATCTCAGACTTGAAGAATATGGCATGTGCTTGGGTTAGGAAGAGTCTTTCTAGGTCTTTTTATTCACTTCCTTGGAAAAGTGAATAAACGCATCTCATGCGTTAATGAGAGAGGAGGAAAAATCACAGGGAGCTTCCTACTTTGGAGGTAAGAGTTTGGGGCAGCCGTTCTGATCTGAAGCCTCACTTTAGGAAGGATAAATAGATCTCTGACTTCTGCTTAGAGATTAAAAGTGATGGAGAAGGTTCCAAATCCATTGTTTTGGAAGTTGTTTTTTTGTTTCAGTCTTATTTTCAGCTATAAATTTGCCAGTCCTGGGATGTGATTAGACCATATGTCAAGCTCATTTAATTGCTTGCAGTTACTAATAGGGCCATATGCTCCTGCGGCTCTTTCTTTCTATCAGTGGTGCTTCTCCAACACTAGGTTGCTGCTTCATCTAGCTAACATAGCAGAAAGCTTTCCTTGTGTTCAGTGATTTTTGCTGGATTACTGAGGTGAATTTGTTCATGGAAACTGAAACAAGTAATGGAACCCATGGAGGGGGTGGGAAAAAAACATGTGGGGAGTGGGAGGAAGAAGTAGGCGCTGTGTATGGCTGGAAGCAGGGGAGACAGGCCACCTCTCTTTCAGTGGCACCAAGCCATTAGATAAGAGGAACTCAGCCAAGAGTGCATGGAGTCTTTCTTTAATCCTTGTATTTCGCTTGCTCCTATGTTTTGTGGATTAAGGATTCCAGTTATTTCTTCAGTGTAGGTATGAAAATCGACCTAACTAAATGCACTGATGTATACATAAACCACATTATTGTTGAAATGACTTCAATGGATGTGATATAGAGATATGTTTCTTCTTTTTCTATTTTAAATATATAACAAAATACTAATTTCTTTGGGGTGGAGGTTGCTCGATGCTTATTTAGCTACTACAGTTTCATCAAAGTGAAATGTGTGCTGTTGGTTAGGTGATTCATTGTGCTAATCATCTGCTGCTTATATAAAGTCACTTCGCCTCAGGCCTTTTTAGATTCTAGTGGCTTTGTAATTTCCTTTGACTTTTTTGTCCTTTATCATTTTTCTCTTTCTCCTGTCCAAATCCAGCTGGCTCACAGATGTGGCATCATTTTGAGGCTGCGCAAACTCTGTTTATACAGCAGAGGTGCTAGCTCACCAGTCGGACTGTCCAGCTGCTTCCCTTTTGAAGCTATCCTCCTTCCTACTCCTCAAATAAAAAACAAAATAGCAAGTCTTTGTATTGCTCTTTCTTTCTTCTCTTTCCTATTCTATACAGTATTCGGATAACATGCTCTTTTTCTTTTATGTTATCTGAAATTGAGTGGCATGAAAGCATTCACACTCTCATTGTTTTCTTTAAATTTTCATGTCTTTAACTCTTACCTTTTTTTTTCTTTTCATTCAAATATATCTTGATATCTCCTACAAATGGCTGGCTTCAGTGCTATGCTGTCAGTCCATTTCTTCTTCCCTCTTTATCTCTAAGCCTCTGCCCTGTGCTTTCTGGTCCTCTTTTTATTCTGTTGTCTTCAGTCCTTTCTGCTCCATCAAGATAATCTTATTACATAGTCCTTTTCAGCTGGCTATGTACGAAGGACAAGGACCACTCCTTACTTAGCCTTTCCCTCATCTACTCTTGAACACTGTCAGACATAGGTTAGTGTGGCCAGTTAGAGCTTTGTAGGGAACTAGTATAATGGTAATTACATTCTTCTGTTTTTTATTTTTTGTAACCCTGCTTTTCTTTCATTTTTTTTGCTTGCCTCACTCCTCCTCTTTTGGGAGGATCAGTGAAGGCACTGTTAAATTGGAGCAGGTTGAGAGCCCATTTGGGTAGAACTTTGATGCTGGCTGTCCGAAGAGGCAAGTTTGGGAATTTGTGATTGGTCTAGTTTATGTAACAGGTTAAGCATAGAATTTACTGTGTGCACTTTCCGGGGTTTGGTTAATTAGCTCTCAGCTAAGGCAGGAAGGAGGAGATTTTTGGTCAGATTAAGGTACTTCATCAGAAACTAGATAATCTTTAAGATGTCCATCTCTCATGCCTTATGTAAATGCCTGGATTGTCCCCCTAGGTAGATTACCTGAAATGCTGCCAGTTACTGTTTCATATATATATATATGTATGCATGTGTATATAATATTTTAAAATACAAAAACAATAAAATGTACTCAAACACACACATGTACCTATGTATATACATAACAACTTAACTACTCCTACTCTTATGTTGTTTAGGTTAGCATTTTGGAATTACTGGTCCTTTTCTGTTATTGCATCCAGGCGGCCACCTAACTCGGTTCTGTTTGCTGTCACCTTTCAGTTTCTGCATCAATTTCCTGTTTTGTGTGCTCACTTCTAAAGGAATGTTGGCCAACTTTTGAGCAGTGTCAAGAGATACTATTATGCTATTGTTAGTTTGAATTGTTATATTTAATACTACAGAGATTTCTATGTTCTTTGCAGAATGCTTAGTAGAAATAATGGGAAAG